TAGTCCCAGCTACTCGGGAGGCTGAGGCAGGAGAATGGCGTAAACCCGGGAGGCGGAGCTTGCAGTGAGCTGAGATCTGGCCACTGCACTCCAGCCTGGGTGACAGAGCTAGACTCCGTCTCAAAAAAAAAAAAAAAAAAACAAAAAAAACTTGGCATGAACTTCAAACTCTTGAATACCAAAGACAGGAAGAAAATCCTGAAAGAAGCTAAAGAGAACTGATATCTATAGAGGTTAAACTATTTGAGTGACAACACATTTCTCATTGAAACAATGGAGGCCAAAAGGAGGTGGCACGGAATTTTTTTTTTTTTTTTTTTTTTTTTTTGAGACGGAGTCTCACGCTGTTGCCCAGGCTGGAGTGCAGTGGCGCGAGCTCGGCTCACTGCAAGCTCCGCCTCCCGGGTTCCCGCCATTCTCCTGCCTCAGCCTCCTGAGTAGCTGGGACTACAGGCACCCGCCACCGCGCCCGGCTAATTTTTTGTATTTTTAGTAGAGACGGGGTTTCACTGTGGTCTCGATCTCCTGACCTTGTGATCCGCCCGCCTCGGCCTCCCAAAGTGCTGGGATTACAGGCTTGAGCCACCGCGCCCGGCTACACGGCATTTTTGAAGTGCTGAAAGAAAATAACTGTCAACTCAGAATTCTATATCCCACAAAAATATCCTTCAATAATGAAGGGAAATTGAATCATTCTCAGTTGGTCGCCAACTTTTAAAAAAATGTCTAAAAGAATTTCTCTAGCTGGGTGAGGTGGCTCACGCTTGTAATCCCAACACTTGGGGAGGCTGAGGCGGGTGGATCACCTGAGGTTGAGAGTTTGAGACCAGCCTGACCAACATGGAGAAACCCGGTCTCTACCAAAAATAGAGAATTAGCCGGGCCTGGTGGCGCATGCCTGTAATCCCAGCTACACAGGAGGCTGAGGCAGGAGAATTGCTTGAACCTGGGAGGCAGAGGTTGCAGTGAGCCAAGATCGTGCCATTACACTCCCGCCTGGGCAACAAGCATGAAACTCTGTCTCAAAAAAAAAAGAAAGAAAAGAAATTTGTCTAGACAAAAAGCAAATGACAAAAGAAGGACTCTTGGAACATCAGAAAAGACTAAGAAACAATAGTGAAAAAAAGTATAAATACAATCAACTTTCCTTCTCTTGCATTTTCTAAATGCATCCTTAAGGGATGCATTCCAATATCCCTAGTCAATGCCTGAAACCTTGAATAGTACTAAACTCCATATATACTATTTTTGTTTTTCTTTTTATTACTTCTTTTTATTATACTTTAAGTTCTGGGATACATGTGCTGACCGTGCAGGTTTGTTACATAGGTATACATGTGCCATGGTGGTTTGCTGCATCCATCAACCTGTCATCTAGGGTGTTTTTTTTTTTTTTTGAGACGGTGTCTTGCTCTTGTTGCCCAGGCTGGAGTGCAGTGGCACAATCTTGGCTCACTGCAACCTCTGCCTCCCAGGTTCAAGCGATCTTCCTGCCTCAAGCCCCCTAGAAGCTGGGATTACAGGCACACACCACCACACCCAGCTAATTTTTGTATTTTTAATAGAGACGGGGTTTCACCATGTTGGCCAGGCAGGTCTTGAACTCCTGACCTCAGGTGATCCTGCCACCTTGGCCTCCCAAAGTGCTGGGATTACAGGCGTGGGCCACCGAGCCCAGCCCCATCATCTAGGTTTTTTTTTTTTTTTTTTAGACGGAGTCTCGCTCTGTCGCCCAGGCTGGAGTGCAATGGCGCAATCTCGGCTCACTGCAAGCTCCGCCTCCTGGGTTCATGCCATTCTCCTGCCTCAGCCTCCCGAGTAGCCGGGACTACAGACGCCTGCCACCACGCCCAGCTTATTTTTTGTATTTTTAGTAGAGACGTGATTTCACCATGTTAGTCAGGATGGTCTTGACCTCCTGACCTCGTGATCTGCCTGCCTAGGCCTCCCAAAGGGCTGGGATTACAGACATGCCCATCATCTAGGTTTTAAGCCCTGCATGCATTAGATATTTGTCCTCATGCTATCCCTCCCCTTGCCCCCACTCCCTAACAGACCCCAGTGTGTGATGTTCCCCTCCCTGTGTCCATGTGTTCTCATTGCTCAACTCCCACTCACTTATGATTGAGAACATGCAGTGTTTGGTTTTCTGTCCCTGTGTTAGTTTGCTGAGAAAGATGGTTTCCAGTTTTATCCATGTCCTTGCAAAGGACATGAACTCATTCTTTTTTATGGCTGCATAGTATTCCATGGTGTACATATTATTAAGTCAAGGACTTTCACCTTTTCATTTAAAGGAAGTGCTTTACAGCTTCTCTGTGGCATATCCAAATTGCTAGCATCACTATTCTGAAATTTTGGGCCATTATTAAGTAAAACACAACACTGCAATATCCTGACGGTCAATCTGAGAATGGGACAACTGAGAAGGCTGCAAAGCGATTGAGGGTGCACAGCATAAGGAGCATGGATACACTGGACGAAGGGATGAATCCCATCCCAGGCACGATGGGGCAGGACAGTGCGAGATTTTGTCATGCTCCTTGGAACAGCGCGTAGCTTAAAACTTATGAACTGTTGGCCGTGCACGGTGGCTCATGCCTGTAATCCCAGCACTTTGGGAGGCTGAGGTGGGTGGGTCACCTGAGGTCAGGAGTTCAAGACCAGCCTGACCAACATGGAGAAGCCCCGTCTCTACTACAAACACAAAATTAGCTGGGCATGGTGGCACATGCCTGTAATCCCAGCTACTCAGGAGGCTGAGGCAGGAGAATCGCTTGAATCCGGGAGTTGGAGGTTGCGGTGAGCTGGGCTCATGCCACTATACTCCAGCCTGGGCAACAAAAGCAAAACTTAGTCTCAAAAAAAAAAAAAAAAGGAGGAAGAAAAAAAACGACTTATGAACTGTTTATTTCTGGAATTTTCCATTTATGGTTTCAGAAGGTGGTTGACTGCAGGTAACTGAAACCATGAAAAGCGAACCCACAAATAAGGGGGTCTACTGCACTCTTCTTCAGGGGCAGTCTGTGTATTGCAGCACCTTCAGTTGTTACTCTGAAAGCCCTGCTGGTGCTGTGGCACGTTTTGGAAACAGGGTGTGTTCTATAATGTTCCAATTAAATATTGGTATTTTCACAGCCCTCTGTCTTGGGCTATGAACTTCACAAGCGTTTTTCCAGTGATACAGTTCCTTTCTTTTCTGCCCTGTACTCTCTCTCTGGCTGCAGAGTCGACGGTTGATTTCCTCTAAGCCCTGACCCCTGTTTATTCTGCTTTGTTTTATTTTTCCTTCATTATGTAAAACAAGAAGGCTGGAGGAGGCTAGAGTAGGAGGCATTCCATTCCTCAGCTGGGATAAAGCTCTGGCAAAGTCCTTCCCTTCGGAGAGTAGGCTTTTGCTATGAAGAAAGCTCTGGATATGCTCCTCAAACCTGTCCACACTCAGCCTTCCTTAATTTATCAAAAATATTACCATTAACGTGTTCCTACCTAATGTGTCAAAAAATTTTATTGATTATCAATCTGTTCATTTTTTTTTTTTTTGAGATGGACTCTTGTTCTGTCGCCCAGGTTGGAGTGCTGTGGTGCCATCTCAGCTCACTGAAACCTCCATCTAGTAGCTTCAAGCGTTTCTCATGCCTCAGCCTCCTGAGTAGCTGGGACTACAGGCACAAGCCACCATGCCCAACTAAGTTTTGTATTTTTAGTAGAGATGGGGTTTCACCATATTGGCCAGGTTGGTCTCGAACTCCTGACCTCAAGTGATCCACCCACATTGGCCTCCCAAAGTGTTGGGATTACATGCGTGAGCCTAGCCTTTATTATTATGTATTTATTCTTAAGACAGGGTCTTGCTCTGTCACCCAAGTTGGAGTGCAGTGTCAAAATCATAGCTTGCCAAAGCCTCAAAATCCTGGGCTGAAGTGCTCCTCCTGCCTCAGCCTCCTGTGTCCAGCCCAGAGTGGTTTTAGATATGTAGGGTTTACCATTATCTTAGAGTCAGGTTCTAGTAATCCACCCAATGCCTGGGTATTTTTGTTTCCTTAGTAAATGGCCACAGGTATCTTTGGGGAGTTCAGGAGGAAGATTTATAGTATATACTCATAGCGGGGTAAGATCTTTTTTCAAGAGTCCTTCTTCAACATCCCCTTCATCTGGGTCTATGAACTGTTTGAAGTCAGGGAATTGGTTGAGAAGCTGGGTCTCTCAATTTTGGTGACTTATATCAAGTTTTTGTTCACCAGATCAAATTGTGTCTTTAGTAGTCTACCCATCAATTTGTGAACACCAAAGATCCCCGTGGATCATCTGACAGGTTACCCTTCTGATCCACTGCCCATTATGACAACGTTGCTCATCTTTCTCTATTGACTAGTGCTGCCACTTGGCTTCTACCACCCCAGGATTCCACCGTTAACATTAGAATCAAGAAGCCCATCTCAACAGTTCCATTATGTAACACCATCTTATACCTGTAGAGGACAGCAGCCACAGAACTGTTCAAAAATACTGGTGCTCCTCTTACCAAAGGACTTCTCAATACTCTGGTGAAGGGATTGTCCTCTGGTTTCTTCTGAGGGATACACTGAAAGGGTGGAAGAGTGTGTTACTCATGACAAATCTACTCCAACATTCCTTTCTCACCAAGACTTAGATCCTTCTCTATTATTCCAAGAAACTTCTAGTATCTTTTTTTTTTTTTTTTGGAGACAAGGTCTTGCTCTGTCACTCAGGCTGGAGTGCAGTGGCACAATCATGATTCATTACAGCCTCAACCTCACAGACTCAAGCAGTCCTCCTTCCTCAGCCTCCAGAGTAGCTAGGACCACAGGGGCGTGCCACCACACCCAGCGAAGTTACATATTTTTTTGTAGAGACAGAGGTCTCATCATGTTGCTCAGGCTGGTCTGGAATTCCTGGGTCCAAGAGATCCACCCTCCCCAGCCTCCCAAAGTACTGGGATTACAGGTGCAAGCCACTATGTGCCCAGACAGAAGTCGTAGTATCTTAACCTAATTTAATGAAGGCCACTGTTAAGTATGGTTTCATCAACCAACTCAGCAAACTAAAAAGCCACTCCCGGCTGATTGAGCTAACACACTGAAACCAGAATCTCTCGTACTACAAATAAATCAATAATTTCAACTTTACATTCCTTTTTGTCAGGTTTAGAATCCACTCCCACATAGAAATCCTCTGGTGATAATATATATTAGCAACATTTTGCAATTCTTTTCTTGTATAAGCTTCTCCTCTGGTGTCAAATGTTCTACTCATCTTCTAGGGGTATGCTAAGATCTGATTCTGGTTGTGGATCTGAAAGCAAAGAAGCATTGACATTCCAGTGCAAGGTTAGTGCTTTTAGCCAAGTCATTACAGGATCTTCATGCAAGGTATGGCCAGTTTATGAAAGAGGGCAGGAGGAATGGGTTTACCTATCAAAGGAGACTCAGTGGGATTTGGGGTTTCAAGACAATAGAATTCATTCCAAGCTATAAAAATGTTCCCATTCCAAGTTCAAGGATTTCTTTTCCTTCTCTTTCTTTCTCTTTCCCTCCCTCCCTCCCGCCCCCCTCTCTCTCTTTCTTTGAAACGGAGTCTTGCTCTGTTGCCCATGTTGGAGTGCAGTGTCTCAATCTGGGCTGACTGCAACCTCCACCTCCCAGGTTCAAGCAATTCTCCTGCCTCAGCCTCCTGAGTAGCTGGGATTACAGGCGCCTGCCACCAAGCCCAGCTAATGTTTGTATTTTTAGTAGAGATGGGGTTTCACCATGTTGCCCAGGCTGGTCTCGAACTCCTGACCTCAAGAAATCCACTCACCTCGGCCTCCCAAAGTGTTGGGATTATACACATGAGCCACTGCACCTGGCCATTTCTTTCTCATTTAAGAGATGGAGTCTAACTGTTGCCCAGAATGGAATGCAGTGGTGTGATTATAGCTAGGACCACAGATATGTGTCACAACACCTGGCTTTTTTTTTTTTTTGAGATGGATTCCCACTCTGCCACCCAGACTGGAGTGCAGTGGTGTGATCTGGGCTCACCACAACCTCTACTTCCCAGGTTCAAGTGATTCTCCTGCCTCAGCCTCCCGAGTAGCTGGGATTACAGACACCTGCCAGCATGCCTGGCTAATTTTTGTATTTTTAGTAGAGATGACGTTTCACCATGTTGGCCAGGCTGGTCTCAAACTCCTGACCTCAGGTGATCCACCTACCTTGGCCTCCCAAAGTGCTGAGGTTACAGGCGTGAGCCACCATGCCCAGTCTTGGCTAATATTTTAAATTTTTTGTAGAGACAGCCAGGCTATGCTGCCCAGGCTGGTCTCAAACTCCTGGTCTCAAGGAATGCTTCTTCCTCAGCCTCCTGAAGTGCCGAGATTATAGGACTACAGGCATGTGCCATCATGCTCAGCCCCATAAACAACTTCTGTATGTATAGCTGTGTGTAAAAAGGCGATCATCAGCTGCACATATATAAGTTCATTTATTCATTTCATCTTTTTTTATTCGAGACAGAGTCTCACTCTGTTGCCCAAGCCTTTTTTTTTTTTTTTAAATTTTTAAATAGCTGTGACTCCTGGAATAGTACTCCCAAGAACTCATGGATACCAAGGGTTTCCAATTAATTCCAAAATTTCACATATGGTCCAATTTCATCACAGTGCCCAAGAAGTTCATCTGAATTTGTGCCATGTTACCCATAGCCAGAATTCAGAGCAATTCTGGAATCAGGCAATTTGACACCTGTAAACTGTTCAAGTCTAGGGTCTGCATCAACTCTCCCCAACTTTTTTGAGATGGGGTTTTGCTGGGCTCCCCAGGCTGGTCTAGAGAACTCCTGGGTTCAAGCAATCCTCCCACCTCAGCCTCCTGAGTGGCTAGGACTACAGGCATGTGCCATCACGCTCAGCCCCATAAACAACTTCTATATGTATAGCTCTGTGTAAAAAGACCATTGTCAACTGCACATATATAAGTTCATTTATTCATTTCTTTTCTTTTCTTTTTTTTTTTTAATTTGAGACAGAGTCTCACTCTGTCACCCAGGCTGGAGTGCAGTGGTGATCTCGGCTTACTGCAACCTCCACCTCCCAGGTCTAAACGATTCTCTGCCTCAGCCTCCCAAGTAGCTGGGACTACATATGTGTGCCACCACGCCTGGATAATTTTTGTATTTTTTGGTAGAGATGGGGTTTCACCACATTGGCCAGGCTGGTCTCAAACTCTTGACCTCAGGTGATCCACCCACCTTGGCCTCCCAAAGTGCTAGGATTACAGGCGTGAGCCTCCGCGCCTGGCCCGTTTATTCATTTCAAGGGCTGTGGTTCCCGAAATGTCACCAAGTTTGTTATGTTATTGTCCACCAGATTCTAACAACCTCAAATTGGGTTTCTTTTTTTTTTTTTTTTTTTTTTGAGACGGAGTCCCGCTCTGTCGCCCAGGCTGGAGTGCAGTGGCGAGATCTCAGCTCACTGCAAGCTCCGCCTCCCGGGTTCACGCCATTCTCCTGCCTCAGCCTCCCGAGTAGCTGGGACTACAGGCGCCGGCCACCTCGCCCGGCTAGTTTTTTGTATTTTTTAGTAGAGACGGGGTTTCACCGTGTTAGCCAGGATGGTCTCGATCTCCTGACCTCGTGATCCACCCGTCTCGGCCTCCCAAAGTGCTGGGATTACAGGCTTGAGCCACCGCGCCCGGCCTCTTCTGATTTTTAAGTCTTCATTCTTTTAGACTTCACATAAGAATATTCTGATGAATGCCAGTTGTGGTGGCTCATGCCTGTAATCCCAGCCCTTTGGGAGGCCGAGGCCGGCAGATCACGAGGTTAGGAGTTTGAGACCAGCCTGGCCAACATGGTGAAACCCCATGTCTACTAAAAATACAAACAGTAGCTGGGCATGGTGGTGGGCACCTGTAATCCCAGCTACTCGGGAGGCTGAGGCAAGAGAATCGTTTGAACCCGAGAGGTGGAGGTTGCAGTGAACTGAGACCACGCCATTGCACTCCAGCCTGGGCAACAGAGCACGACTCTGTCTCAAAAAAAAAAAAAAAATAGTATTCTGATGAAACTTCTGAATAAGAGGTGGAAGCTGGCTCAGGCCAAATATTTGTACTAGAGCAGAACAGGCAGGGGAGGAACAAAAGTGGAGGCAGGCCAGGTGCAGTAGCTCACGCCTGTAATCCCAGCACTTTGGGAGGCTGAGGCGGTGGATCACCTGAAGTTGGGAGTTTGAGACCAGCCTGACCAACATGGAGAAACCCCATCTCTACTAAATATCCAAAAAAATTAGCCGGGCGTGGTGGTGCATGCCTGTAATCCCAGCTACTCGGGAGGCTGAGGCAGGAGAATTGCTTGAACCTGAGAGGCGGAGGTTGCAGTCAGCTGAGATCAGGCCATTGCACTCCAGCCTGGGCAACAAGAGCAAAACTCAAAAAAAAAAAAAAAAAAATGGAGGCAAAGGAAAAAACTCCCTGAAAACTCATACAATGGCAGGGAGTGAATCTGCCTCTCAGGAATCTCTTGCCTTTTTCACCCAAACATTAAGCCCTCCTGAATCTGCTTTTGGCTTCCATTATAGCCTCTGTTTGGGTTTATTCGGAAAACGAATTGTTTTGAAAAAGCACTATATAACTGTGCTTCCTCTGGTCTCACACCATACTACAACAATCAACACAAAAGACTTCCATGATCAGGCTAGGCGTGGTGGCTCATGCCTGTAATCCCAACGCTTTTGGAGGCCAAGGCAGGTGGATCACTTGAGGTCAGGAGTTTGAGACCAGCCTGGCCAACCCCGTCTCTACTAAAAAAAAAAATGCAAAAATTAGTTGCGCGTGGTGGTATGTGCCTGTAGTCCCTGCTACTCCGGAGGCTGAAGCAGGAGAATCACTTGAAACTGTGAGGTGGAGGTCACAGTGAGCCGAGATCACACCACTGCACTCTAGCCTGGGCAACAGACCAAGACTGTCTCAATGGAATAAAAAAAGAAGATGATGACTTCCGTGATCCCAAAATATATGGGGATTTCTCCCCAGGAACAAGCAAGCCGTTGGTTCTGAGGCAGACACCAGCTGGGTGCCCTCCACTTCAATTCTGACACTCTATCTAGAGATAGTGGCAGATCCCAAGGGTTGAGGGCTCAGTCCCCAAGACACCAGTTGCAATTCTAGACCTCCAGAACTTCTAACAGATCAGCTTCAAGCTGGGGATTCCATGATGCCTTCTTTGGGTTTGATTAATTTGATAGAACAGCTTACAGAACTCAGGGAACCACTTATGTCTACTGATTTTTTTATAAAGGATATTACAAATAACACAGATGAAGAGATAAGCAGGGCGAGGTAGGTATGGGAGAAGGGGCGAGGACCTTCCATGGCCTCTCTGCATGTGCCACTCCGTGTATATTCAGCTATCCAGAAGCTCTCTGAAACCTGTCCTCTTGGGTTTTTGTGTGTGTGTTGTTTTTGTTTTTTTGAGATAGAGTCTCGCTCTGTCGTCTAGGCTGGAGTGCAGTGGCACGATCTTGGCTCATTGCAACCTCCACCTCCCGGGTTCAAGTGATTCTCCTGACTCAGCCTCTTGAGTAGCTGGGACCACAGGCGCCCATCACCATGCCCGGCTAATTTTTGTATTTTTAGTAGAGACAGGATTTCACCATGTTGACCAGGCTGGTTTCAAACTCCCGACATCAAGTGATCCACCCGCCTTGGCCTCCCAAAGTGCTGGGATTACAGGTGTGAGCCGGCCTTTGGTTTTTATAGAGGCTTCATTAGGAGCCATCCGTCACATTAGCATACAAAAAGGCAGGAGTCTGGAGATTCCCAGGACTTTAGGAGTTGTAGGCCAGGAAATGGGATGAATACCAGATATGTATTTCACAACATCACACACACAAATAAAAAACTCTCAATGCATTTCAAGCAGAGGAGAATTAAATGTCAGGAATAGGTGCATACAAAACCACTCGAAAAACTGGAAGAGCAAAAACCGGGGAATACCAACACTATCTTCAAGTCAACCACTGAAGGTCTAGTCTAGTACACAGAAATTCCTGCTGGGGAACTGCAGGACATTCCCATTGATGGACACAGCTTCCCAGCTACGTGAAGGTGGGGTGCTGGTAAGGAAGCACATCATGTCTGCAGTGGTCTATGCATCTGTCTGCTGCAGTCAGAAAATAAGAAAACAGTTTTTACCTTTGTTGCATTTCCCAATTCTCTCTCTCTCTCTCTCTTTTTTTTTCTTTTGAGGCAGAGTCTTGCTCTATCACCCAGGCTGGAGTGGTGCGCTCTCGGCTCACTGAAACCTCTGCCTCCCAGGTTCAAGCGATTATCGTGCCTAAGCCTCCTGAGTAGCTAGGACTACAAGCACACCCACCAAACCTGGGTACATTTTTTTCGTATTTGTAGTAGAGATGGGGTTTCACCATCTTGGCCAAGCTGGTCTTGAAGTCCTGTCCTCAAGTGACCCACCCGCCTCAGCCTCCCAAAGTGCTGGGATTACAGGAGTGAGCCACCGCATCCAGCCCCAATTCTCATTCATATATATATATATATATATATATATATATATATTTTTTTTTTTTTTTTTTTTTTTTTGGCAGTAGGCAAATAACATCCATCACCGCGGAGCCAAAGGGATCTGGGAATTATTGTTCCCTGGCTTCCAGTCCCTCTGATACATAGAAAGAACATAGACAGGAATAAGAATAAATGCAGATTACCTCCTCCCTCCAATCCTTCCCCACAACCCCCACCATCTGGCACTGAGGAGATCTCCCAACTTTTATGAAGGCTGTAATTTCAATTCCAAATGGCTGAAAATCTCTTCAGAGACATTCAGCCCAGCCCTCCTAGCTCACCACTCGCCTCCACCTGCCACACAGACATTTTACCTACTGTTCTTTGTGGTGTATTTTCCTGCCCTCTTTTCCATCTCTACTTTCCTGCCTCTCTGAATAGTCTGTGCCTCCTGGGTACAGAGCCCAGAATCTGTTAAGGGTGATTGGAGGAGGAAACTTAGCAGATAAGCAAGAACGAGAACAAGTTCTATTTTCCCCTAGTCTAAGTACAAGTAATGTTCTGATTACTCTGTCCTCTCTTCCCCATATTAGAACAACTGGAATGTTAAAAGTTCATTCTCTTGCTAAAACTGTCATGAGACAGCTGGAGATGGTACATTTACAAAAAATCCAGTTCTAGATGGCTAACTTTCAAAGTAAGATGACAGTAAAAATGTATATCTTAATATCCTTTGTACTTTTGCCGGGCACAGTGGCTCACGCCTGTAATGATGGATCACGAAGTCAGGAGATGGAGACCATCCTGCCTAACACGGTGAAATCCCGGCTCTACTAAAAATACAAAAAAAAAAAAAAAAAAAAAATTGGCCGGGCGTGGTGGCACGTGCCTGTAGTCCCAGCTACTCAGGAGCTCAGGAGCCTGAGGCAGGACGATCGCTTGAACCCGGGAGGTGGAGGTTGCAGTGAGCCAAGATCACACCACTGCACTCCAGCCTGGGCGACAGAGTGAGATTCCGTCTCAAAAACAACAACAACAAAATATCCTTTGTACTTTTACACACACACATATATGTATATACAGTATATATCAGTATATATATATGTGTATACACACACACACACACTCTCTCTCTCTCTCTCTCTCTCTCTCTCTCTTCTTCTTCTTCTTTTTTTCCTGAGTCTCGTTCTGTGGCCCAGGCTGGAGTGCAGTGGTGCGATCAGATCTCACTGCAGCCTGAAACTCCCGGACTCAAGCAATCCTCCCACCTAAGCCTCCAGAGTAGCTGGGACTTCAGGCGCACGCAACAACGCCCGACCAATTTTTGTATTTTTTGTAGAGACATGGTTTCACAATGTTGCCCAAGCTGATCTCGAACTCCTGGGCTCAAGCTATCCTACCGCGTGGGTTTCCGAAATTGTCGCGATGACAGGCGTGAGCCATAGCGTTACATATGGGGGCGGGGGAAGAGAGAGAGAGAAGAAAAAGAAGAGAAAAGAGAAGAGAAGAGAAGAGAAAACATATATATACAGAGGGTGTTCAAATCTACTTTCAAGTGCTTTCCGTGTACATATAATCTCTTTTTAAAATCCCATCCAGCTCCGTTGAGATGAGAAAACTGAAGCTCTGAGAGGTTGAGTAACTTGATCACGCTCCCGCAAAGATAAAAGAACCGCCATCTGCCCATATTAATTTCCCTGAGATGAAACATGACAGGGAAAGATACCTCAAAATTAAGGAAATGGAGAGCTTCGAGAATCGTCTTCCATCTCCGCGGAGTCCCCCAGGAACTTGGCCTGGAGTCTTTGGGCTGTCCCACCTGATCCTGCACCAATGCGGCTCCACACCCTGGCAGGGGGCGTACGGAGCGTCCCGGGCCCAGGCACCAGCCAGCGTTGGAGTGGGCAGGACTGGAGATGGCAGCCTCCGGTCCAGGGAAAGCGGGACTCTACGGAAGGGCTGGGAAGAGGGTAGGGAGAGGGGGCGGGGGCGGGAACTGTTCCGCCCCGTCCCCTCTGTCTACTTTCATTGGCCAAGGCTTCCTGGCCCCAACCCACCTCCCGCCTCCAGGGCGCCGCTTAAAGTGTGCGGAGCAGGTGCCTTGGGTGGAGCCACAACTTTGCGCGAGTGTCTTGGTTGAGCGCAGCGCCCATTCATTGCCCGCGAGCGTCCATCCATCTGTCCGGCCGGCGGTCCAGCGATAGGGGCTCCAGGCCGGACGCAGCAGCCAACCGGGGGACCCAGGCCAGGAAAGGGGCCGAGAACGCGGCTGAACCTTTCGGGCCGGGGCAGGGGACTGTGGCCGCGGCCATGCAGTCCTGTGCCAGGGCGTGGGGGCTGCGCCTGGGCCGCGGGGTCGGGGGCGGCCGCCGCCTGGCTGGGGGATCGGGGCCCTGCTGGGCGCCGCGGGGCCGGGACAGCAGCAGTGGCGGCGGGGACAGCGCCGCGGCTGGGGCCTCGCGCCTCCTGGAGCGCCTTCTGCCCAGACACGACGACTTCGCTCGGAGACACATCGGCCCTGGGGACAAAGACCAGAGGGAGATGCTGCAGACCTTGGGGCTGGCGGTAAGGACCTCCACCCGGCCCTCCGCGGCCTCCCCTCCGCCCTGCCCGGGTTCTGCCTGCGCGGCCTCCCGGCTCCTGCCCTGAGCTCTGCTGCGCTCCGCGTGGTCCCCGCACCCTGGGTCCCGGGCCGTGGCGTGGAAGCGAATTCGTACCTTTGGTCCTCGTGCCTTCTCACGTCTTAACTGCTTACCTTCTCCTGCACCCAGTCTTCGTGCCTCAAAAGTGTACTTTTTTAAACCACCCCCAGGCCATGTAGCCCTGTGGATGAACCTTAACTTTGCAAGAGGAGGAAGACCCCCTGGTTAAGAGTGGGCTTACCGGTTAGCTCCGGTTGCAACTGAAATCCAACCCCCAGTGGCGGAATCTCCACCCCGCTTCATGATTTTCTTTCCTCCAAGTCATTCTGGCTTGCTCAAAGTTTTCCTTTTCTCTTTAAAAAGAACCCTAATTAGGCGATTTAAATGAGGTTCCCACAAGCCTTTGTAGTTGCAAAACACAGAGGTGACTCTTTTAACTCAGAGGCGCTTTCCTCTGCCTTGCGTTTTAATTTTAGAGCATTGATGAATTGATCGAGAAGACGGTTCCTGCCAACATCCGTTTGAAAAGACCCTTGAAAATGGAAGACCCTGTTTGTAAGTGGCCGGGAGGGCTCCCTTGGACTCGGCTTATTCTGGCCTGTTTGCCTTTTGTGGTTTCCTGAAGATCCAGCTCTGGGGTTAGGATTGCTCAGGACTGGGAATGTATGGATGAAAATAAAACAGTGGCGGGTACCTCCGGAACCGTCAGAGGGTGGGATATTTGGTTCTTGGAGCAGACAGTTTTGTCTTAGGAGGGAGTCGATGTTGTGCGGTTCTTGATCTTTATCCTAGGGCCCCCGCAGGTTCCCCTGCGTTTTGTAGCAGATTCCCCACTTCCCAGGCACCCTGTCTCCGGTCAGGGTGCTCTCATACTTTGGGTTGAGAGGTGTCATCACCTGCGCAGATCTGGATAGACTCAAAGGATCTAGGAATTGCCTAAGGTTGTGCAACTGGGGAAGTGACCAGACATCTGGCCTCCCTCCCCCACGCTTCTTTAGATCGCAGTAGTTTCCAGTTGTTTTCTTATCTCACGTCCAAATTTTATTATTTACCAACTGAAAGTCAGCAGTACTTTCCGAGTCCGAATGGTTTTACTTTTCTTTCCTTTTTCTCTCTCTTTTTTTTTTTTTAAGGCAGAGTCTCTGTCGCCCAGGCTGGAGCGCTGTGGCTTGATCTCGGCTCACTGTAACCTCCGCCTCCCCGGTTCAAGCAATTCTCCTGCCTCAGCCTCTTGACTAGCTGGGATTACCGGGGCGCACCACCACACCAGGCTCATTTTTACATTTTTAGTAGAGACAGGGTTTCTTCATGTTGGCCAGGCTGGTCTCGAACTCCTGACCTCAGAAAATCGGTCCGCCTCGGCCACCCAAAGTGCTAGGATTACAGGCGCGAGTCACTGTGCCCAACCCCAAATGGTTTTTCTAGAAAAACACACAAGTAAGATTTACATTTGGTTAAGAAAGGTCAGTTTAGTCATAGAGTTTCTTAGAATTTTATTTTAGGTTTAAAATATTTTTAATGGTCCAAGATTGCTTTTCACAGGTATTTTTATGTGGGTATTTGACTTGCATGGGGTGGGGAGACAATCCATAAGTCAAGGGCACAGGCAGAGCTCTTAAAAAAAATCTCATCTGGTTATCTCACTTTCAATCATGGAGATATTTATCTCTTTTTCTTCTAGAGTAAAATGAAGAGACAGCAGCTGTTTTATTTTGTTGCTGTGATAGAAAGGATATAGCCTGCAGATGGCAAGCTTTATTTGCTTTATTTTGTGTGAAGGTGGACATTTGAGGTATGGAGTCTATCTGCTTCAGGTTGGCTGCTCAGGCTATGCTGAGGGCTGCTGCCTTTGTTGGTTTCCAATCTGATGGTCATTGAAGAAAAGCTGCATGTTTTGTTGCATTGAACTAATTGGGATGTACGGATAGCTGGAAGGAAGCCTTATCTATTTCCATTTTAGAAAATCAGAATCCTGGCTGGGCATGGTGGCTCACGCCTATAATCTCAGCATTTTGGGAGGTCTAGGCAGGTGGATTGCTTGAGGCCAGCAGTTTGAGACCAGCTTGGGCAACGTGGGGAGACCCCATCTCTACAAAAAATACAAAAATCAGCCAGGCGTGGTGGTGTGCACCTGTCATCCCAGCTACTCTGGAGGCTAATGTGGGAGGAACACTTGAGCCGGGCAGTGGAGGTTGCAGTGAGCCAAAATGGCTTCACTGCACTTCAGCCTGAGTAATAGAGTGAGACCCTGTCTCAAAAAAAAAAAAAAAAAAAAAAAGAAAGAAAGAAAGAAAAGAAGAGAAAATCAGAATCCTAATTCATTTGATGTGTGAAGAGTGAAAAGTTGTGTATCTTTAAAGCAGGGTATTTTAGGTGAATATTTGAACAAGTGAATCGCTTCCTGAGATTTTCAAAGTCAGGGAACGTTTAGGTTAGCTATTTTTATAATATATATACTCTAAAATAAAATGTTCTTTTCAGAGCATTAGAGCCTGGGAAACATAGCGAAGTTGTGTGTCCTTTTTTAGTTTAGTTCTTGGTTCCAGCTGAATAATTTGAACATCAAGGGATTCTGATTCTTCACTGTGGAAGCGGGCTCCTGAAAAGTAATTTGCAACTTGAGTATAAACTTTATTTTTTTATTTTTTATTTTTTGAAATGGATTCTTGTTCTGTTGCCCAGGCTGGAGTGCAGTGGCATGATCTCAACTCACTACAACCTCTGCCTCCCTGGTTCAAGCTATTCTCCTACCTCAGCCTCCTGAGTAGCTGGGATTACAGACGTACACCACCACTCCTGGCTAATTTTTTGTATTTTTAGTAGAGATGGGGTTTCTCCATATTGACCAGGCTGGTCAACTCCTGACCTCAGGTGATCCACCCGCCTTGGCCTCCCAAAGTGCTGGGATTACAGGTGTGAGCCACCACGCCCATGCCATATAAACTTTAAACCTAGTAGCTTCTGTGACATTTTGGGCTCATTCCATCTCGTTTGGGATGATTCACCCAGAAAATATTGCACAATCAGAAGTCCCCCCATTCCCTGAAATGGACCAGTTCTCCAATAAAGCTTGCTTCTTGGAATAGCGAGCTGGGATGTTGGGAGAATGGAGGAGGATGCACCTGCAAAGGAGGAATTTTGACTCTGAGGTGTGAGCGTGTCACGGTGAATGAATATTCTCCAGGTAGGGAGAGCAAATCGGTGCATGTAAGTTCTGGTAGTAGCATTTCCATTTAATAGTGGAGCACCATTACTCAAACTTGGTTTCATGTGAATGCCTGTGTTCTAGTGTAGTCAGAGGAATTCTGGATTAAATATTTGTTTGCCATGTACAGAGAAAGCTGTAGTGAGAGCTAGTTATAGGAGTGTTAAATGTCCTCATTGCAGAGTAAAGATTGTGAGGGTTGTAATCAGTTAGGAAATACTTGGGTTACTTATTACACATAACTCAGTAATCTCAGACATTTACGTAATGCTTACCATGTACTGGACACTCTTTAACATGCTCTCGTGTATTAATGTATATTACAATCCTATGAGGAAAATACCATTAATACTTCTGTTTTAAAAATGAAGAAACCACATTCAGATGATACATGACTTGCCCAAGGTCATAACTGGTAAGTGGTGGAGGCCGAATTCAAACCCAGGCAGCCCAGCTCCACTGTCCACACTCCATCCACTACTTTGCTCTCTCTTCATTTTGTCCTTTGTAAGGTTGTGGGTGTACAAAGTGGAAAACTTCTGTCCTGACTCACCTGGAATGTCCAGTTTACAGATGTGCACAAACCCAGTTGCACTAGAAGCATGCTGCCATATGCCAACTGCCTCAGCAGAATTGTAGCAGCTTCCTGGCAGCACAGATGTGGGAACACTCAGGCCTGCTGCCAGGGCGAGGGAAGGGGTCACGGAAGTGCAATACTGAAGAATGAGCAGTGATGCTCTGCTAGATAAATCTGGGGGAGGCTGCTGGAGGTAGCGGGATTAACATGTATAGGACAGAATGGCCGGACAGAACCAGGGAAGGACGGGTGATTCATCAGTCATAAAGGATGCTCCCCCTCTTCTTGGACAATTCAGGAAGTGCCTTGAAAAAATACTTTGATCATGAACTGGCTGGTAAGTAAGTCATTATTCAGAGAAACAAGCAAAGCTATTCAGTTCAAAATCCTATCCTGTTCAAGTGAATCCCCCATTCCCCAACCACACGCACTCAACAACAACAAAAGACTAGAAGGATATGTGTCACTGGGAACACTGGTTTCTCTGAATGGTGCCCTTATTAGTGGTTTTAGCTTTCCCTTAATTACTTTGCAGTTTTGGAATTTTCTGCAGTGT